TTTCTTTTTTTTTTCTTGTTCTTTTTGGAATGCAACTGTCGAGAGTACCAGAAACAAAAATACAATGGGACCCTTTGCGCAGTGAAATTCAGGTTTGGCAAGACACTGCATCCTTGCGACGGCAACGGCGTTTGTTCATCATTGATCTGGACTTAGTTTCTTAGGGTAGGACCCCACACGACAGCGGCAAACGGATTCGGAAGTCGTGGACTTCTGGGCCACTGCCCACCGCCGACGGGGATGACGAAACTTAGGGGACCCCACCGCCGCCGGGAAATGTTGCTTTTGCGACGCCCGCGGATACCCAAAAAGGAAATTCCGGGGTGGTTTTCGTTTTGGGGAAAGGTCGGGCCCTGGAAGGCCATTCCAGGTGCCTCAATGATGGTTTAATGGAAGGGTGGCTGTACATAGTGGGCGACTGTGCGACTTTTCCCGGCGGCACACGACGGCTATGCAGGTGACACACCCTCCCCGGTCCCGGGTTCCAGGCTGTCCTGGGCGTATGTTGCGGTGCGGACGACCGATGCTTCCGAAAACGGCAGTAGAGAAATGGTTCAATCTCCCCAAGGCGCTGAGCTGCTGATGCCATACCCGTTCTCTTGCATGCCCGTCATCCGGATCCTCGTTGACAGTCGACACACACTGCCCATTTGTCCATCGCAGGCGGTCTTAAAGCAGAAAACCTCTCAAGCCCAACGTCCTCGCTTGTGTGGCTTGGGGGTTCGTCCCCGCGCATGAAGATAGATGTGTGGCAAGTGTTAAGAAGTCTGCAATTGCATCCAATCTCCACCCGGCCATGCCGAGCGGAGGAGCACGACGGCGGAGGGTGAATGGAGGAGAGGAAAACGGGGATGAAATGTTGTTCATGACTGTTATGGCGATCATGCAGTGGATGAACAGGCGGAATGTAGCCGCCATGGCTATCCTGCAAGCTGCGGCCTCCTTCCCTATAGTCCACGACGACTTGCAGCAGTGCTTGGTACTTCTAGCAGGATGTGTTTGCCATAGCATGGCTAACATATGGGTGGTGATGACAAACATGGAGAGGGTCATGGATGGCAGAAGGAGGATTTGGGTGTTGGAGCGGAGCGGAGGCGTTTGGCAGGACCTGCAGCGTGTTGGAGCGGAGTCGGGGGGGTTGGCTGGACCTACTGCTATCTATCTATCTATATATTTATGTCTGTGTGTCTGTGTGTCTATCTCTCTGTGTGTCGGTCGGTCGGTCAACGATGTGACGGTCTTTTGCTATTTTTTTTATTATGAAGAAATGTCAGAAATGAATTTCAAATGCAGCACTCTACGTTGAGAGAGAGAGAGAGAGAGAGAGAGAGAGAGAGAGAGAGAGAGAGAGAGAGAGAGAGAGAGAGAG